CTACAGAATTAATTTATACATTATTAATTCAAAACCAAAAATAACACCTATTTTCCATTAATATAGAATGATCTTCACAGAGCCATCCAACGCACACAGTCTGCAATGTTTAACCAAGTCCTCATTTTAATATCTACTTTACTATGTCTTATCTTTACTTGGTAAGTGGCCAAACCCCCTTGTTTTTATTATATGTTTTGGTTTTTCTTCCGTTACTACATGGTGACCAAAGAGGCGTTGTGGAAGTCGTGCATGGAAATAGAAAGAGTAATATACTTGCAGTGAAAGTGTCAACTAACACCTGGTACTACTGGGGTCCTGATACACATGGTTTGGAAACAGAATGTGCATGCATGGGAAAGGGAATCATTCTCATTCTAAGAAGTACAGATGATGCAAAAACACAGGAGAAAGGAGTGGGGGAAAATTTACCTATGTACCAGGAGTGCAATCTCAGCAGAAAAGTCACTGACATTTGAGGAATATCAACAGAAGTACCCATGCTAAGGGCACCTGCCTCTGACTGGTGGGAGCGGCATAGCAAAAGGCAGGATCTCAGCCTTACCACTCTGAGGGCCAAGGCAGGTCCCCATGAGGAGTACAGAGGACAGCTGCTAATCTAGATCACAGAAAGTGTAAATTTTATTAACCTAGGCTGCCGAAAGTAGCGGAAGGTAGGTTCAAACCACCCAAATGTGTTACTCTGAAGAACTTTTTTCTGCAAGACCTTGAAAACTTAAATTTACAGGAGTTTGGGAAGCATGGAGAAATTAAGCACTTTTTGAATGACTACGAATAGTTCAAGCATCTGCAGCTTGCCTAAGACTGGAGTTCTGTTTAGGTAATTGTTACTATGGCTTGCATGAGCACACCTAATGGCATTTTTATACTTTTTACCCATTTATCTATAATCTTATTTTAGACAATGTATTTTTAAAATATCTAAAAAAATCTCTATAAACAGTCAAAATCAATTAGCTTAATGTCTTTGATTATGTTACATCTATAGTGAATTTGAGACAGTGTTTCATTTTAAGAGATCATTTAGAGATTACATGAGTTTCTTCATGTTGAAAGAGGAGCAAAGTCCTGTTCTGGAATATGTTCAGTTAAGGATGACTTTCGCTAGGCTGATCTTTTACATTTTCTGCAACAGGAAGTAGTAACCAGTGCATTCGCCCACAAATTCACATGGGAACCAGCATTAGACTTATCTGTATGTGTAATGGAGCACAACACAAAAATATTTTGAGCCAGCACTGGCCTGTTTTCAGGACCCTGTTGTGGTTACATATAGAGATACTGCCTTTGTCCACAAAGTACCATAGCTTCATTAATGCAAAATTAATAAATCTAGATTAGTAGCTTCAGTACAGCGCTTACAGTTTCAGAGCACTTTCCCCTTAGAGTATATGCAGTGCCATGGGGACACGCTCATGGTGTGCTTTTGGCACCACTGATAACTGCCCTCACTACCTCCCTGATGACGTTTAAGGTTAATGAGGTAACCACTTCTAGGCACTGTATGGATTAAATTGTAACACCGCAGTTCCTGACTGACAGGCTTGCTTTCACCATCTGCTTCAATAGGAAATTTGGGTTCTCATCACTTCTGAAAACATAACTTTACAACACAGGGTTCAAAACCATGCTTTTATCAGACACGTAGAAAGAAGCGACACATACCTTTTATGGGGATTACACCATTTGATAGGAAGACCAAGACAGTATGAACCCCAGAAAAACTCCTCTTTCTGCTTCCTAGAAAGAGCAGCAAAAGTGCTTTCTTATTGCTTGAAGTGAGACGGAAATATTTTAGAAGTCTTTGATGGTCATGTCTGTGAGAAAGTTTAAAACAAATGAATGCAGAAATGTAACTACTCTCCAGCAATAAGTTTCTATCTAAAAGATATGTTTCTTAACCAATTTTTCAGAATTTTGGGTATATTAACATATTAAAAAGTAGTTTTTTTACTGAGGTGCAAGAGAGATGATTTCCTTTACTTCCTTGTGCAATAATGGAATCCTGTAGCTCTGTACAGAGTACAAAATAGCTGGATATGTACAAGCATATTGGAAATTCCATGTCTTCACTGGTAATTCTGAAAGTACAATTTTGTTGCAGAATATATATTATAGAATCTTTTCTGAAAACTCATGTGTTTACTGAGTAAGAGAATACTTATATCAAAAGATACTTGTGTCTGATCACTGTATGGGTGCAAGTTCACTGAGCAGAAAAAAAAACTAGCCAGAACTGAAATTAGGATCTCTCGAACGTGGAGGAAGTATTCAGTCCCAGTCACTTAGAAGTGCCGCAGCACCTGGCTGGACCTGTTGATCCATTGATAGTTTACAGTGGAAGGATGAAGTTTGGGATGTCTAAGCCCAGTACTTTTTCATTTATTCTTCTGGCGTGTAGACAACAACATTACATTTGGTATCATTTGACTGGTCATCTTTTTCAACAGAAATTTACTTTAAAGTTCCGTCCGAGAGATCTGTATTGCATACAATAGTTGCGAGAAAGCAACATATTTATAATGAACATTGGTAAACAATTATAAAATTAAAAAGCATATTGCATACAGAGTTTGTTTTTTGTTAGGTATAAAAATTTCTAGGGTGGCTTTGCTAAAATCTGATTTATAAGAAGCATGTGAAAACAGATTGTTGCCACCAACAGTTGTCAATCTAGGTTGTTTAAATAAAATACATATTCAGATAAAACTCCTAGTGTTTCTAATGGATTACAGATACATGAGATGGGCCACACCTTTTTCACCTGTGATAGCACTGGGGATCATTTGCTTACTGTAGTGTTAATACCTAAGGGCTGAAACTTTTGAGGGGACTTGATTAAAAAAATATAATAAAAAATTACAATGACAAAATGTAATAAAACCCCGAAATTGTTTCTTGAATTAATGCCTTTGCTTATTTTAATGCAACTATTGTATTATGACAACACAAATATTACCATACATACATTTATTCACTTTTTTTCTTTGGTTGATAGCATGTCATTTGTCATAATACATTTTGAAAAATATTTTTACATGTTTAAGTTCAAGAGTTCAGATCTTAAAAAAGCATATGGATGATTAGTGCTCTTAAAGAGGGCTGCATGAAGAGCATAGGATAAGGATACACACCCCTGAAAAAACAGTTAGGTGTTTGTGAAAGCTTGGACAGAAATCATTGTTTATTATAGGGAGAGCAGAAATTTGGCAGCCCAATCAGAAGTCTTTTTGGCTACTTATCAAACATGGTTTCTATGGAAACCTTGATAATTATACAGTGATTTTCATGCTGTTTTAGTTATTAAGTTGGTAGTGACATAATATTTCATTTGTTAATCTTTTTAGATGTTTCTACATAGTTATTTCTAATATAATTAGGTCAGCATCTTTCCCATGCTACAGGCAGGGAATTCTTTGTGCAACTGATGTAATGGAACATTTAAAACTAGACACAGAGACCAGTAAAATTAATAATAATTTGAATTGCTTATTTACTGTGGCCCGTGGAACAAAGTCATAAAAGATTAAGAGTTCAATCTAAATTATCTTCTGAGTGTGAGAGATACATTCGTAGTCAACCTGTCTTCTTCTGAAAATCAAACATAATCAGAAAGACTAAATGGTAGCTCAGGAAAGCTGCCTTTCACAAAGACTGTAAAATGGAGTCAATAACAGATTATTTACAAGGAATTCCTCCTATTTTTTTTAATATGTAGAGAAATATTAAATTAAGGAAGTAAACAATATGAAATATTTCTCATTAAGATATTTCTGTTGTTTTATTGCACCCTGGAAGATGAGTCGGGGATTCAAATACATGTGATCTTTTCAAATTACAATCAAAGCTTTGTTTATTTTCTAGCACAGACTGCAGATAATTTATTAACCTGAAAATCAGTAGTTCCAAACTGAATTTAGATAAAGATGGACGAAGTTAAACTTGGATAAATTTGAAAGACAAAAAAAAAATATCCATATTCTTAATTCTGTATTGTTGTACCACACAATGTTTTAATATTTCACCTGGTATGTAACTCTACATGACAGGTCAGGTAAATCATCCTTCAACAATTTCACAATCTAGTAAGTAGCCTGTTGTTTAAATCATTATTATTTTTAATTGAAGAATTTTCAGCATGACTTGAAAAACTTTCACTCTTGATCAGAGTTAGTCATTAAATTCCATTTAATGTCCTCACATTTTATTTCAAAATTAGACATTTCAAATTCCATTCTGAAACTTCTAGCTGCTATCGTGTGAATCATTTGTGATCATTCTCTTCTAGTAATTTTTTTCTGCTATGTGAAGATACTGAAAATTCAGTAATAAGAATATGCATATTTAAGTGTAAAAATAGATTCAAAACCAGACTCCTGCCCAAGAAGGAGATAAAATGTCTCTCAGGTTCTTTCCCAATCTCTCCAATAAGTTTCATGTGATGTAAAAATGTCTCTTAGATACCAAATGCTGTTAATATTTATAATAATTTGGACAATTTTTCATTAAAGATGAATTGAGAAAATTTGGGAGGGTTACACAATATTTTGCAAAACATTATGCACTCTGATGATGCCATTGGGAGAACAATTGTTTAAGCTTTTATTATCATGACATCTTGTAATACAATAATAATATTACCAGATACCATGACAAACAAAGGTTGTTCTGGCAGCAAAGACCAATTACCATTATGAAAGGAGGAAAAAAAGTAAATTTTTTTAAGCCATATAATATTTGGACTTTTAGAAATACGGTTCTAAAAGACTGTAGCTCTATAGCATCATTTCTTTAGCAATCATATTCTGAATTTTGTGGGAGATAAATAAAATTAAGCTACTGGTAATATTAAATAAATATAGCTTTCCAACACATGTAAAGCAACACATAAAATTACTCAAATTTAATCTAAATGCAATCCTGTTCTTGTTCATTTGAAGGAATGTAGCACACCATAGAATGACTAGAAGGAATATGTAAAGTCATAGTAAAATTAAAAATTAAATTAGAAAAGCCTAATTCAATTTTCTGTGTCACATTGATGTACATAGTGACAGAACTGGGGCCGCAACATATAATTCCATCTCTGTCACGTGAAACCCATGATGTAATAAAGGAGCAATTGGTGAAAATCTAGATG